TACATCACTTAACACTCTGCGAGAGGCCCTAAGTGTGCTTCCTGGAGGGGAGGCGCACGGGCTCAGCCAGTGGAGGGTGGCGGGAGGAGGCTGAGGGCCCAGACAGGACAGCCATGTGGGCTCCGGGGACACGCAGACTTGTGGGGATGGAGGGCCATTAACACAGCTGGAGCTGCTGCCGGACGGGCCTGGATGAGGGGCCTGGACACCCCACGCTCGGGGTGAGTGTGGGTGGGGGGCAGCCTCCGGGATGAGGGCCGCGCCAGGTGTCAGGGAACTCCCATCAAGTTCAACACAATGTGCCCTTTGACCTGGCTAGCCCACAGATGCAGTGACCCCTCGGTGCACAGCTGTGGGAGCGGGACGAGGTGGCCGCTCGGCCACTGCTAAAGCTTTGTCACCAGGCCAATGGGCTGGTTAGCACAGGCCACTGCCTCACACGTGGCCCCCATGAACCTCTTTCCAGAAGGACGGCAGAGCCTGGTGGGGCCGCCCACCCATCCGGGGACACCGGGAGATGGGAAGGAGGCCTGCCCCATGTGTGCCCCGCACACTGCCTGAGTGTTGTCAACTTCGAGAGCAGCTCTCCAAGCGGGGAAGGAAGAGCGAGGTGCAGTCACCTCTGTAGTCACCTGGGACCTGCCGCAGCCCCTCTGGTGTTCCCCAGGGCACTTAGGGGAAGCTGAACAACATGCGGTATAGCTCAGACTGAACTGCCAGCCCCAAGCAGCCAGCTGTGAACCCAGAAGCGAGTTGTGGGGGCCCCAGAGGTGCAGCCCATGCCGTAAGACCGGGGTGCTGGCGGGAGGGGAGGGGCACGGCCGGCCCGCCCCTGCCCACCTCCTTCTTGGCGCGGTTGGCCTCCCACATCTGCCTCTCCACTTCCAGCTGGTCCTTCAGGGCCTGCAGCTCCATCTGGGGGCAGCGACAGCGTGAGACTCGCTGGCTGCTGCCACCTGGGCGAGCCCACACGTCCCGCGGCCACGCTGGGTCTGTGGGGCGCGGGCTGGAGAGCTCCATCCCACGAACCCAGGCTCAGGCTGGGGCTCCGGGCGGCTGCCCTGGGGCTGGCCCCGGTGGTGCCCCTGACCCCTGCCCTC